CAAATCCTCTCTATATTTAAATTGACCATCTAATCGACACATGAAACTTGTTCTTTTCAAACCATTAGGATATTCTTTATTGTATTTTTCCCATATTTCTTTTTATCGAATTTAGGTTTCTTCGTATCATAACATCATTGTCGTTTTTAATTAATGACAATCATGGGTCTTTTCAAACCTCTTTACACCTTGGGTCGTGCGTTATTTTTTCTTCTTTTCTTATGCCACTTTGTTCATGCTCAAAATTCTGATTATGATTCTCTTTCCGACATTTATGATTTCCTTTCTTACAGCATTTTACCTTTGGTTATTTTGCTAGTTTATGGTCCTGAAAAGAAACCTTGGTTTGGCACGATCATTTATTATATAGATGATCTTATCATTTTTACTTGTTTATGCGCTTTGCCACTAATCATGATCAAGACATCTGTACCATCAATGGATCTCCAAAGTCTCATTGGCCTTTTCTCTTTCAATGTGGTTCTCTCAGTTTTTTTTTGGATTGGTGTAATATGTTGTGAGAATGGAAGTGAGGGAAGAGCGCCCAGCACTTCGATAAGTTGTCTATTACTTATTTTCTATAATGCTGCTTGGTGGACGACATTTGGAATTGTTAGCATAAGCTCCTACTATATACTACTTGGTCTCATGATACTTTTAACTGTGGTCCCGTTTGTTTTCTTTTTGGTAGCTTTTTGCAGCGCGGCATCTCGTCCAAACAATCCAAAGTGCACCCGTAGATTAAATATAGCAGCTTTAACCAACTTCTCAGCTTTAATCGTTTATCAAAGCTTATGGTTCAATATCTGTTTTCCGTTGACGGCTTGGATCACGAAATTGATCTTTGGACTTACGCTTTTGGCTGTTGGCAGGCTTCTGTTTTATTTATCGAATGAAGAATCCGGAGATGCTGGTTTCTTCAACTGTCTCAAAAAAGGTGTCGTGGAATTTGAACTGGACACGGTGAAAGAAATTGATAATGCGGTCTATGAAATAGAAAAAGAGACAAATAAAGCAGTCATGAGAATACTAAAAGAAAAATACAATGATTATGAAAAGGACCTTTTAAAATTAATAAAAGAAGGATACGAAGCAGCTGACAAAATGCAAGTTGAAAGGAAAGAAGTAATCAAGAAAATACAAGAAGAAAGGGTCAAAGCAGTCGATAGAGTACTGAAAGAAATAATCAGGGGGAAAGATGACGACTTCCTTCCAAAAACTTCAAAAGTAGAAAAAGTAATTGATGATAGATTAAAAAAAGAAAAAGATGACGCGGACAAAGAAATAAAAAAAGAAAAAGATGACGCGCTAAATGAAATAAAAGAAAAAGCAGGAGTTGAGATAGACACTGAAAAATTGGATGTAGTATCTTCAGATGTTTAAACTTGTTCCTATTAATAGGATATTAGATATTTTTATCACTTAATGTGAAAATAAATATTAAATAATAATAATAATGCTTGATTTAATGTATAATAAGATATTGTGTTATTTAAAAGATATTTCAAATTCACGATGATGGTTTAACACTTGCTTTACATACCATAAGTAACGTGACTAAAAATTATTGTAAAACCTTGATAATATGCCAGCTACATTTATTTGTGTCTGATGAACTCGCCAAGACAAAACTATTTAATGATGCCATGCGGAATATAATGTATCTGCAACTAAAATTTGAGATACCAAATCTTGACGAGTAATTTTTTCACCATCTAAAAGAAGGGAGTTTAAGATTAGTAGGATCAGGCTTCTGCCTTGCATCAATATCAATTATTAAGCGAAGGGGTTGATTTCCATCAATGCATTCATGTGTATCAGGTATTCCATAAATTTCAAAAGGATGACTTACTAATGTAAATCCTTTTTCTTTTACCCAGATTATATATCGAGAATAAATCTCTTCGGGTTGGTATGCCTCTAAAAGTACTGTATCATTTTTATCATTGGATCCAAGCAAATATTTATAATACATATGTTCTCCATGGCCAGGTTCGTAATTAAGATCAGTTAAACCAGAGAGGAGTTTCTTTGCCTCGCCATATTCAGCCAATTTTTGGCTTTGGTGCTGTTGTTGTAATGATTCATGTAGATGTTTTTTTTCCTCGTTAGACAGTCCCATTTAATAGTTGTACACTAAAAGTATTATACTTAACCGAAAAAAACTTTAAATTAAAATTAATTATTCTATATACAATTATTATTGCAATAAATATGGGACTTTATCGTTGCCCTTATATTCTTAGAACTGGTAAAGTCTGTGATCAAGGTTGTCGTCAACCAGAAGGATGTAAACTTCATAAGAATTCTCCAACATGGATTCCTTGCAAAGAATGTGATAAGCTAACATATTCTACATATGGTGCATGCCGGAATCATGCCAGTAAGTATCAAAAAAGAGAATATTATCATCAAAAAAAGCAGGCAGAATTACATGCAAAGATTGATGTACTTAAGAATCGTATACCGATGAAGCAAAACCTCAAATACCTGATTCTTTGAGATCGACTAATATGAAGTCTTCTACCAGTGAAGATAGTCATGCTGATTACTCACAAATAGTAGAGACTAAAGATTTTTCAGAAGATACCGTTTCTAAAACCGATTTCATAACTCGCAGAGTTGCCCCTGAAGGAAGTGATCTATTCTCACCTAAGTTTATGTATGCAATGCTCGCTCTTTTAATAATTGTGGTAATATGGTTGGTCGTCGTGAAACCCATACTAGATGCAAGAAAAAAGATAAATTTTTTGATGACGAAAAACATTAGATACTAAATTTTCGTTCCAGTAATACGCAAAGGTATGATCCAATTTTTTATACGGAAAAGTAATACGCAAAAGTGCAAACAAATTTTTTGATTCGGTAGTACGCAAAAGTGCAATAAATTTTTTGATATAGTATGACCCAATTTTCTTTCGAATCGGTAGGCGTGAAATTTTTCGGTAGTACTCAAAAGTATCGACTATGCGAGAAAGGCTTCTAGAGATCCAAAACATAGCATACTCGCGGTAATACGTAAAGGTAGAATAATATAAGGAAGAGGTAAGAAAAATTGTGCTTTTACGTATTACCAAATGAAGATAACAATTCGGCACTTTGTGCCTCAAACCTGGCATTCGAATTCAAGATACAAAGCCAAAATACAGATTGCCAATTTGGCACTACGTGCCTCATCCCTCGCAATCGAATTCATCATATAAGCATTTTCCTGGTGTGATACTTATAGATGACCGTCAACACTTGTTGATGATGGACACGAATGCTACATTGCGGAGTCTGAAAACACAGAAATCAGACGCCTTCTTAAAATATATACTCCGCCCATCAACCCACAATCAATACCGGGCACATATTTTTTTTCATCCAAATGCTGGCACAAACTCAAAGACGCAGATGACCATGAAATAGTCTAATTTATTAATAATTACATCATTGCGGATTTGGAAACGAGGATTATTTGCATCCAGTTTGGGCATAGCCCTCACAATCGGAACTTCATGCCTCAGCCTCGGGTGATGAAAGCAATCAAAGGACCAAAGAAAGCCAAAAGCCTCATCGAAAGGAAACAAATATCAAGCCAACTAGATACCAAAACGGGTACCCAAAAATAAGTAGGTAACAGTCTAATCATAAGTAGGTAACAGTCTAATCATAAATAGGTAACAGTCTAATCATAAGTAGGTAACAGTCTAACGTAAGTAGGTTGCAGTATATATATACTGCAACCTACTCATGTTGCGTAAATAATTTTATTTTTAAATAATATGAATGCAAATAATAATGATGATAATAAAAATACATTTGGTAAAAATTTTAAAAAAAAAACAATTCATTCACTTAAAACGTTGACATTATAATAATCTTCCATTATTGTTTGCACTTGTTCTTGAGAATTTTTGTAAGAAATTTCACTTTTTAATCTTTTGACATTTCTCATTACTTGAAAATCAACATCTAAAATTTTTTTGCTGTACATATTTAGGTATAGTTTCCGAAGCTTTTATAGCCTCCATATTAATGATCATCAGCTCAGGTTCATTTGTTTCATTTGTTTCATCATCATCAACTTCACTTTGTCCTTTTACAATACTTACGATTTTAGCATATAAGGAAATAAAAGAAAATGACATATTGATAGTGTCATTGCCAAGAAATAGCTAGAAATATGTTAGATTAAATTGTGGATGTATTGCTGATTATTACAATTTATTTCTAATTATTTTACATTCTTAATATGGGGAGTCTCAAGCGAAAATGAGTCAATTTTTTTTTTGTCATTTTCGAGATAATGATATAATAATATATAATTTGTGTCAGTGAATCTTTTTATCTTAGAAATATACCCATCCTTACTTAATAAAATTTCGAGATATGTCAAGAAAATTGTTTGCATAACATATTGAACTTAAAAAGATCTGCAACTTTAAAGGGGTTTTTCTTAAAATTATGATTTTCAAAATTGACTCATTTTCACTTGAGACCAGTGTTCGAAATTCGACTGCGCCTTTACATAAACTAATCTAATTTTAGAAATTATCTGCGGTTAATTTCCATATTTGGTTAGTGCGCGCCGATTCCGCCGATTGAATTTCGAACAGTGGTTATAACATTATTTATATATTAATAAAAATATTTTTTTTAATTTGTATCACCATTAAAGGTCACGTGATATAAAAATTTTATTGCATTTTTGAACATAACTTACAATTCTGAGTTTTGGTGATTTTTACCAAAATTGGCCACGAGGCGCAGCAAGTTGCGGGACTAGGTGACTTGCACCATATGCATATTTGCAGATGTAAGAGCAAACATCATTTTGCCAACTGATGTTGACTTTTGTAGTCATAGGTAAGTCACAAACTTTGCATGGTGAATTATACCATGATTCCTGAGTGATATCATAAGATTCATTTTTGGTGCAAGAGTTGCATAGTTGGTGATATCCCCATTTCCAACCATCATTTGTATCCATTTTGGTTGTAGGTCTTTTACACTTGCAACAGTGATAATTCATTCGCCTTGTTGCAGTTGTCCAATTGAAATGTTCCTTGGCCTTTTGTTGTAGTACTTTCTTGTCACATTTGCACGGCAATGACTGATTTTTATATTTCAAAAATGTTATTGGTTGGAATTCCTCAATCACCATCCGGAAAATATAAAAAAATTTTACACGTGTCAATTGTAAGTTTAATAATAAAAAAGTGTAAAACTTACGTCGGCACTGTAAGATTTACACAATATTACGTCGGCATCGTAAGATTTATGCAGTTTACGCTAAATTAATTTCCTGATGACTGAGTAGCCTTGATCAATGTGAACACGATTGACAATTAAAGTTGTTTGTCTGGCAACACTACTTGAACTTCCTTCTTCAGGATTTTCCAAGGCAGTGATAATTTCTGTTCTTGTGATAATTTCATTTTCCTTTAGTCCTGTTTGCTGATCCGTTATTGGTGTTGTTGTACTGTCAAAAGATGGTTCAATTGCTTCTGGTACGCCTAGTGTTTGATTTATTTCTTCTATTAGAAATTCACACAGTATTTGTCTTCTGGGTCCTGGCTTTTCAGCCAATACCTTTTTTGACAAGAACTTAATTACAGGATTCATCTTGATTTAAAATATTGTTGTCTAAGTTGATTCCGTTGCAAACAATATTTTTCTAATAGGATGAATTGAGTTGGTTGTCTATGTAGCAGATATGCCTTAGTCAAATTCCCAATCCTAATGTTTAATTGTTGAAGTTCGAGTTTTTGTTTATTAGTTGTTTGTTTGAGTTTCTTTTCCTGTTTGTGTTCCTTGGGTGTTTCCCTTTTTCGCAATGTCATTCAATGACCTGGCCTCTTGTGGACTGTAATATGTTAAGTTTATTAATTATGAACTAAGTTCTTTAAAAGATGGTGATTCCTTTGAAATTGGTTCCAATAATACCAATTTTGTGTCCTCTGAAATTCGTTGAGCGATATTGTTAGTTGAGTTGTAAAGAATTCAAAATATTCCCACTTATTATTGTCTTTATCCTCTGTCCAATGATTAACTGGTCGGTTTGAAAGAATTTCTGGTTGTGGTTGATTATAATTATAATTATTGATTGTTTTGTTGCAGTGAGTCTTCTTCGTACTTTGCGTTTGATATATAAAGTTTTTTTCTTTATTAGGTAATATTTGTTTTGGGGTTTTAGGCATTTAATTATTTAATTGTTAACTGAAAAGTTATTTTGTCTCTTGGTCAGATTCTCTGTCTTTTTATAAGAATTTCCTCCCTAATTGTTTTTCGTATTTCCATCTTATCCTGTTGCTCTGTTTATTCCCCCTGACTCTTTGTTTTGGTTACAATTTCTTATCTTCTGATGAGTCAGCCTTTTGTCATCATGACTAATGTTT